AAAAGGAGAAGGAAAAGAAGAGTTGAAATTGCTATGCCACACGCCGCGGCGCGTAGATTGTCTACCACAGTGTACAGCCATCTTTGAGCAAGGAAGGACCTCTCTGTGCCATGAGCAGCGGCGTGTTGTGCGTCTGTCGTGGCGCATAGCCATTTTCTGTACTTTATCAGACACAAATTGAGACAGAAAAAGAAAGAAGAGAAAAGAGAGAAAGAAGAGACGTGTTTAAGCTCTGCTAGGGTTTACTTAAGAATCACTTTAAGAGTATTTTGAAAGTTACAAACACTCAAGGTAAGTATCATACTCATTAATATCCCCTTTTCTTTCACATTTATGAGTTTACGGTTAGAGTTTGATAGTTGAAGTGGAATTTTGGTCCATATAGATTATGAATCTGAATTTGTTGACTCAAATAAAGTTAATAAGGGTAGATTAGAGTATTTAAACCTAGGTATGATGAGTTTTGGTGTCTTGAGTTGTTGGGCACCATAAATACTCAAAAATCCCATTTATTATGATGGTTGGAAGTTTAGGATGCCATTAATGAGAATTTAATGGCTCATTAATGCTATTGGGAGCTAAAGGTAACTATTAAACCCAATGGTTAGGCTCCACCTCTTGTAGAGTGAAGGTTGGGCAAATTAGAAGTAAAGATTGAGGGTTTAATTATTTGAATTTAGGTTGTTGATGGAATTCAAATTGATTGCTTGTAGCTTTGGCTCTTAGTCACCTTTTTAGAGTGGAAATTCAAGCTTAGAGGCTAGTTAATTAAGGGATAAACCTTTAACCTCTCAAAGGTTTGAGGTAACTGGGGGAAAACTTTACTTTGAGTAGTTGTATGTTAATTTATAGCTAATTAATTGTTGAGTGTGAGATTATGAATGTTACATGTATGAAATTGATTGTTAAAATAAGAACTATATATTAGTTTCATTGAGTGCATGAAAAAGCAATTTTTGGGCTTGAAAATGCAAATGCAAAGTCAAGGGGATTTTGACTATGAGCATGCTATTGTTTGTGAGAAATGAATGTTTGTCAATGAGAAATGAATTTTGAGAAAATATGAGAATATATACTTGGGTAGCGCAAGGTCGTGAGCCCAATGTGATTGTTGTATTAGTGAATTTATGAAAGTGAAAAGTGAGAACAAGTGAGTATGGTTTATGGCATGATCAATGGCGAGAGTTCGCCTAGGGATTGGGAGTATAGAAAAATCCATATGGTAATTAGGCTGCCCTCCAGTGCACGGGGGCTATAGACTTGTCCCACTGTTTGTTAAGGGATTTTCTCATAGTTTGCCGAGAAACTAGAACCTAGCTATTTTCACCGATTCAATAAGGAGAATAGCCTAGGGTATGAGACACCCCAGGGATTCAAGAATAGGGGAAGCCGTGGGCCAAGAGTGAGTTCTATGATCTTTGGCCAAGTCACATCTCACGATTGGTAAGCTTGGGTAGTTCAGTCACACGGATGGAGCCCTAATCAATGTTATAGCCCATGGTTTTAGTCTGAAGAAATAAAGAGGATGTAAGGTTGGTTAATCATTGCCTAAGTAAATATATGACGTGTCACACATGCTAAGTAGTGGCAAGTCACAAAGTATGGGTCATGTCATATATCTGAGAATATGGTGACAATGCACCTAGTTATGTGAGTAAAGGAGCTATAGAGTGACAAATGATAAGATGTGGTATTTGTGTACTTGTTTTACATATTTGTTCTCCCTGTGCATATATTTGTTTTATAATTAATATATAACTACATAGGGTAGGTTTAACCTTAGTTACTGAGTGGCTAGACTCACCCTTCTTATTTAATACTTTTCAGGCTCTAGCTCTGGTGTTGAGAGGGAGAAGACTAAAGAGGCAGGAAATTAGTACATTCCTTCTTATATGCCTCTAGTTTTGATGTATTTGTGTAATAGCATACAAATGCCAATTTTAGGATGCATATTATCTCACTTGCATTATTTTGGCTGTTGAAAATGTTTGAATTATATTTTAGGCCCTTAGCCTTTGTTTATGTTGTTATATATATGCTTATAGGGCCAAAATACTAGTGTAAGTGTAGAAATGAAGATTTAGGCATGTTATGAATGATTTGAGTTGAATACAATGTGAATTTACCTTACCTTTTATTTTTGTTATATTAGGGTTGATGAGTGAATTTTTGTTATAATGATATTTTGATGCTTGTGACGTGTTGTACTGGTAGTCCTAGGTCCATCGGACATGGTCCAGGTGTTAGGAAAGGCTTTTGACACTTGTTGAGGGTTTTGAACACCCACTTAGTGTAAAAGTGTTAAAAAGTGGTTAAAATATGTTTAGGTGTCCAACTTCCTAGTGTGACTTGTTTTGGAAGTAAAACTTATGCCATTAGTTAGTACAGGAAAAGAGTTTTTCGTAGACACCTAGATCATGTCATTCGGACGTTGGACGGAAAATCGGGGCGAGCCAAAAGTTCCTCAATTCTGCTATCAAATTGACAGTAGAACCAATGGATTTTTGTGTAACATGCCACGACGCATGGCTCCTGAGCCGCGGCGCATGGCATAGAGAGCAATATGCCACGGCGCAATGCTCTATATTTTAGGAAATAAATTATTTTCAATCATTTTTTAACTTTTTTTTCTCCTTTGAGGTATCCCATACTTTCAAAATTTATTTTTACTCTAAAATAAAAGATTTTATCGATGTTAACTTGTTACTATTTAAAAAACTTGGAATCTCTTATTTTTGAATTAGAAACTTGGTAATCACTCTTTGGAGACAATCCCTTGATTACCCTGAGCTTTATTTGCTAAATGTGTTTAGTGTTGTGAGACGTTACAAACTTGGTATGGTATTACAGGTTCAATAATAGAGTATTATTCAGTTACGTTCATTTTCTATAAATCAGACAACCAATTAAGACACTAATTTAAAAGATAAAACCGGTTAAGATACTAGTTTGAAGAATGATAGTTTAACCAAGATTAGACTAGGTTCAAAATGGTTAGTAATTTAATTAATATATTTCAACTATTATACCTTCTATATGAAATACAAATAATAACAATAAAATCATAAAAATAATTTATTTTAATTTCTTCTATTGATATTTCAACTTTATTAAAAATAAAATTAATAAATAAAAAGGAATGAACAGATACTATACAGGGAAAATAATAGAAAAATCTTCCGGAAATATGATAATGACAATAAAATCTTGCAAAAAATTGTAATTCTTCTCAAGTCTTTTGTGATCATTTTGATATTAATATTTTTTGTGAAATGAATATTAATATACTTAATTCAACTTTGTCGTTTTCTATCTCGTTTCAGTCATTTTTTTTTTTAAAAAAAGTAGTTATTACTTAATCCCAAATAGTCATTGATATTCACAATATTTGGGACATTATAATCGTTTTACAAAAAATATCAAAAAAAGTCCCAAGAAATTTGAGAAGAATTATCATATTTTATGAGATTCTATTGTTTTTTTTTTGCACAGTTCAATAATTTTTTTTATCATTTTTCCTATTATAAAACTATAAAATCAACCACACACAGCTCGCACGTTTATATTTTGCATAAAAAATGTGCCTATTCCCCCTCAAGCACTCGTTTATTTATTAGTTTTCCTCTTTGTTAACCCGTTCTCATGTATACCTTAATCATTGCTCGTTAGTTACCTAAGTCAAGTCAATTTTTGCTTTTCAGTTTTCTAATATTTTTAATTTATTTATTATTCTTGAATCAAGATTAGATTAATGTATATTTAAATTTAGATTTAAACTAAAATTTCCATACATAAAAATTTATGAATTTAAATTTGATTTAAATTTAAATTATATTTCACAAATAACTTCACATTCCCTCTACTGTGTTTGGTATGAATTCATTGAACTGGTAAAGCGTAACAATTAGGTCAGGTATTGAAATACTCCATGTGCATAATTTATTATCACAACTTTCCAGGATGTACCTCAACCTACATTTCCTTTTGGCATAAAACTATTAAGTGCATAACGCACGCCATGTTTATTTACACTGTAATATTGTAACATTTGGTATATTCAAAAGTGTTTTACGAAAAAAATAGAGAGAGGATAATTTTGCCTTTAAATTATAACACTAGGAGTATAAGACTCTAAATTTTTTTCATGTTATTTATTCACATAACATTTAAAAATGTCTCAATGTGTCTCCTTCAACATGTTCACTAACAAATTACATGGGAGAAAATTGGGGCCCCCAATTCATAAAGGATAAAAGTGCAAACTGATACATAAACTTTCGGTTTAAAAGCGTTTGAAATATAAACTTATTTTTTATATAATATCTTTTAAATTTTAAAAATGATTCAATCTAGCCCTTATCATTAACAAATGATAGAAAATAATATAAGAAATTATAGAAAAGACCAATACAATTTTCTTAGTAATTTTTTTATATTTTTTGAGTCCTTATCTATAATTTTTTGATCCTTTATTAGAATTTTTAAAATTATTTTTTAATCAACTAACGATCAAAATTAACTTTTATTAATAACAATAACTAAATTGTATCGTCTCAAAAGTTGAAGGAAAAAATTGAACAAAAATTGAATTTAAAGTCCCAAATGATACTTCTAAACTTATAATTTAAAAACTAATTTACTATTTCACCTATATAAAAATAACAGACATAGCCTTATAATTAATAAGAAAGAGCACATGGTGGCGTTTTTAAATATAATGGGTGAAAGTGCACTTAAAATTTTAAGATCCTAGGCGCTCTTATACCTATAATTTAAGGCTAAAACTATCTTTTTATCAAAAAAAAAAAAAAACAGAGAAAGTGCACTGTTATATTACAAGGCATTGCATTTTCCTTTCTTTTTTAAAAAATATTTTCTATGCATCTAATATGCCTGAATCTCACATCTTAGCTTACATCAGTCTCTCATTCTCACGAAGTGATCATGATCTTACCAGTGCTGAGCACCAGACAGAGTTGATCACGTCTTTTAGACATTAATTGAATGTAAACGGGGACTCTATATATAGGTAAATTAAAAAAGGGCATTAGTTAAGAACATAATAATTAATAATAATACTTAAAAATCATGATAATGTGAAGATGATGAAAGTGGAGAAGCCTAATAAAATGAAATTGAGAGTAGAGTCCTTGATAATGCTGGAAGCTTCATCTTCATCGTCTTGGCTTTCAAGATAGCTCAAAGTAGATTCCTCTGATGAAGGATTTCGTGCTGATCCTTCTGCTGGTATTTCACCTGCAAATAAATGGCGGTAAAAAACAAAGGGCTTAAATTGGTTCTCATGTCTTCAAAAAAAAAAAAATCTTTAAATTCAGTCTAAGAAACTTTCAATATGTTTTACTGAAATTAAAAAAAATTTTAAAACTCATTAACCCTGTCTAAAAATTTAATAATTTTTTAACTTTAATAATATATTTTTTCTCTTCAAAATTCAATGGAAGTTAAATAGAAAAATTTAATGGGTGACTTATAAATAGAATTAAAATTTTTTTTTTCACCTTATAAATAAGATTAAAGAAAGTAATAAGCACTTTATATTTTGAAAAGTATATTTTTGGTAATAATAATGTTACAAGTACGCATTCAAAGAGATGGCTACTCCTTAATTTTATAAACTCCACTTTATTTGTTTGGTTTCTCAAAGTGAGACTCATAATAATTGATTCAACTTCTTGACAGCTTAGGCACTCCTATTTATTTCATCAAATTTTTTATTAAACGATCTTCTGTTAACAACAATCAAAGATAAGAAATTACCATAAAACCCCATGGAAAGAACAAAAAGAAAGAAAAAGGGAAATTAAACAAACAAAGCCAGACAACAAAGGAAAGGGAAAAAAAATAAAGAGAAACAAACTCCAAAACTAGACAAAATAAAACCAAAACACATAATGAACAAAATAGAAAGTCGAAGCAACAACACGAGAGCTTGAAGCAATCTATTGCTGGCACTCCCCCCTTCCAGATATCTTTAATTAGATCCGCATCCTAATAAAAGTTAGTTATTTAGTTGAAAACATATAAAATTATAACAATTTCTCACTTTTGCCATTAATATTGTCATAATTAATATTTTGGTGATGAATAGATACACAATTAATATCTCTTCCCCTCTCAAAATAATAAGGGTAAATTTATTCAATTACTCAAAATTATCATGACACACTTTTATATTTATGAACAAAATAAGTTTATAAAAATCACACCCTATATACATAGGAATGAAGAGATACCTTGAAGGTCAAACTGTGAATTTTTTTTATTTTGTAAAATATCCAGGGGGTTTGCTAATTCACCTGTATTTAGTTAATATATTTAGAAATAATCATATTTATTTATTTTCAATATTTTAAATTCAATTTTCCAAAGAAGAATAGTTGCAGTCACTTTAATTTGATCCAAAAACCAAAGAAGTCACTTTCTTTATGCTCTAATTATTCGTTATTCTTTTTTGACCTGAATTCACACTAATTACTTGGAGTGGAGCAGTTGATGGATTTACATAAATAGTAAATTTATATAACTAGCTCCACGTGTGAGCGTAATCAATTGAAAAATAAAAATAGCAACAATTAAATTTGAGCAAAAAAGAAAAACTTGTATAGCTGGCTACATTGGCAATGATAACATTTATTTAATAGGCATGGCACGTGGTGGGGACAACCAAAAGAAGAACATGATTATATATATATATATATATATATATTGCCATAAAAGAAGAGTACGATATTGAAAAGGGTTAGGAATAATAAGCACCTCATCGAAAAGAAAAAGAGTAATAATATTGATAATGGAAATATAAATTTCATTTGTCTTACTCGGGGACATGGCATCTTGACTTATTGGAGCCAACGATACTGGAACTCCCGCAGCTGGAAGGAACACGTAACACTAAAACTTTAATAAATATTCACTCACCAGTGAAATTGTATCTTGTTTAATCATGAAAGTGAAATGATGATAACCAGACTTTTGACTAATAACAGTGTTGATATTATATAATAATGTAAAAATTATAAGTTATTTTTAACTAATTTCCACTGCTAGAAAAACAATTAATATAATTAAAAATTATATATATTTTTTTTATATTTATCTTTATTTAATGATAATTTAATCATAAATAAGTATAAAATTTTTTATTTAAATATTCATTAAGGATACTTTTTTAAAAAAAACCTGTGAATTATTTATAATAAATATTAAAATATCTTATATTTTTAAATATGATGGTATGATACTCTCTTTAGTGTTTTTAAAAGGTGGAGAGGAATAATTTTTTTATCTTATTTATAAAGTATGTCATTGATTTTGTATTATAAGTGTTTCTTTTAAGAGAAAGTAGTACTATAGATATTTAATAAGAATAAAATATTAACCTCTTCCTACTCTGAAAGCACAGAAAAGGAAACAATGAAAGTGTAATGCACTTAAATTTAGAATTTTTATTTTAAAAAATGAAACTATTTATTATCTGATATAAAAAAAGAAAAAAATTCTGAATCGAGTCGAGTAGGATCTCGCAGCACTACTCAAGGTAGCACAACTTTATATAAGCTAAGCTACGCACTTATTTTGATACTATCTCAACACCACTCTCACTCCAATTAAAGATATAATAGGTATTGTTATATAATTTCATAAAAAAAGTATTGTTATATAAAAAAAATAAAAAAGATATGGTTGATCTTCCTTTTAACTTCGATGTAAATTTCAATTATCAAATCAATTTTTTTATAATATGAAGAGTAAACTTCGTTAATAATAAAAATTATTTCTCCTGAGGTATTGAGTGCAAAGATAAACTTTTCTAAACTAATTTATTATATATATAAGAGTTGATATTTGAATCACATACCACTTGAGCTGGTCCCTATCACTTACATCAATTTATATTTTTTATGAAGTAAAATTAAAAGGAGAGTGACCCTTTTAATTACAGAAAATTGGATGATATATAATATATATACATATATATAATTTTGTCTTTTTTGAATTGTTCAGCCATTTCCTACAATTTCGCAGACACCACGTACATAAAGAGGAGATCAGTACATTTGATGTTTGATGTTCCTATAATAATGCCGGTCATGTAATCACATCTTTCTCTTCTTGCACATGTTTTTGTTTTATCTTTTCACTTCAAATGCCATCAACGTATAATAAATTTATACAAAATTTATAGCAAGCCCCACCATTTACAAAATCATACGGCTTACTATCCAAATAATGTATAAAAATATATATCAAGTATTATAATGACCTCAAAAAATAAACTGTGAGCTCATTTTTATACTTATGAATATTGAGACTTTTAATAAATTTAATTTTTATGTGTATTGATTAAAAACATAATATTTCTTTTAAAAAAAAAAACACTATGCACTAAGAGAAAATTGCAAATAGCATCACATTATTGAAGACTGTGCAATATTAACTGCACATTCATCCACGTAAGATTGCTTTAAAAAAAAAAATTGAATTTTAGAATGAAAAAGGCCGCCGTGATTATTGGATCTGCAGATGTATCTCCAAGATCTTTTCATTCGTTCTTTAAATTCAAACACCAAGAGTCTAAGACCTAAAAATCCAGTCCTGATGAAAACTAGATTTGATTCCCAAAAACTCAGATTATATTATATGCTATCAGGATTCTCAGAAACAACAAATAAAAAATGAAAACTTGAGAGACTATAGATGATCATTGAAGAATTAAGTGTACTATACGTACCTGAGCAGGAAGTAACATTAGGAGCAGAAGAAGAAGAAACTCCACAAACAGAAGGAAGATTGAGAGCTTTCTTAATATCAATGGCAAAACCAGAAGCTCCAGGATGACTTAACAGTTCACACAAGCAAATGGGGTTACTTTCCACAAGTCCTGCTATCTCTGGGCAGCATCCTTTCTCTGGTTTTGTGAGGTTACTTTCAGATTTCACATAGCTCAGGCAATCTGATGTGTTCACTAAGGCTCTGAAGCATTCTGTAATAGCCCGTGCTGACACCGGAGCTATGCCTGGCTGTGTTGGAGGAGATGGAGGCTTTGCTGATGTGCTGTGATGTGTTGCTGTGATTATTAGAGTTGCAACAATGGCTGCTGTTCTGAGACTTGCCATAGTGATAGCCATTTTTGAGTGTAATGCGTTTGGGAGTGTCTCTTTCTGTTTTTAGCTCGAGAGAGCTCGAGAGAGAGAGGGAGAGAGAGATGTGAGGCTAAATGTAAAGTTATTTGGGCTTTTTGGTTCTGTTGAAAACGATTTAGTTTTGGTGCACTAAGTAAGACCACCTCTTTGTCACAAAAACAACAAATGTTGGTAACTCACGAGTGAGATTGAATTTTGCTGTGATACGAAGACCTTATTATGGGTAATTTATAAGCACATATGTAAGCGCTCTTTGAGCTTAAATGTATGCCTAGATTTGGTGGTGAGCTCTTAGGATTCTAAACTTTTATGTACAAAAAAAGAAAAAAGAAAATCTAGGATTAGATTTCATATAATCTAGGGAGAATAATGATTGAGGACCGGTTAAGGGCATTAATTTCAAGTAGGGACCTTGAAATATGGAAATGCCAATTAAGGACCATGGTCCTTATTTGGGATTAAAAACAAAATAAATTGTCGAAACTGCCCTTGAGAGAAATAACCAAATAACTACACAGACCAAAGCCCTACTTGCTTTGTTTCTTTGTCTCAGTCGAGCGGTTTCTCGTCCTGGCTCACCGGTGTTCATTGTCGTTCATTAAGTTCTCCATATTAGCTTTAGGATTGTGCAATCATCCATGAGAGGTCATCTCCAGCATTGGTCCCATTTTTGTTGCACCGTTTGTGTTGTTCCGTTGCATTCTCTGTGAAAGCTCCGACTGCCATTGCTTGGATTTGAGCTCTCCTATACTTCGCCCAAATGTAAAAGTGAGGATTTTCATCTATGAAGTCTCAAACTTTTAGTATGTTGTGGTTTTCCTGTGAGAAATGTCAGCTTAAAAAGTTTATAGTCTCAAACTTGCTCGGACCATTACTATCGAATTCTTTGTTTCTTATAGAAATTAGTTATTTTTTGGCCTGAAAATTGCAATGGAAAATAGAACTTGCTCATGTTCCCAATTCAAAATTTTGGGTTCCTTTGAAACGAAATGCTTCTCGTGTAAATAGCATTGGCTCAATTTTAATGGTTGGCATTTGTTGGGATTCGATGTTCTCCTTTGAAACAAAATGCTTCTCGTGCAAAAGGCTTAATGTTTATGAACGTTTGTCATTGATATTTTTCTTGCTAATGTATACGACTTGAGGCAGGAGATGGTTATGTTGGGATGTTCAGTGATGTTTTAATATGTATAATGTGATAAGGGAAAATGCAAGGCCTTCCTTTACTTTCTTTCACCTGCAAATTGGCTTATGAACTTCTAAAACTGGGAAATAGGTCTCTGGACTTCTGCTCTTTAGGAAATAGGTCCTTCTATCTTTATTGCCGTTTTTGAATTGGCTCCTCGTGTCTGCTTTGTATCATTCTTGGTACTATTTTTCCATCCTTGAAAAGCTGGACCTTGAGGCATCAAGAAATTCACAAGTCTAATTGAATCGTTTCCATTATTAACCTTGTCACGCCTATCTGCAACATATGTTTGCTAACTTCTATAAATTTCCTTCTCTTCTTGGGTTTAGAAACACCAAAATCACTGTTGGTCCTTCTTTATGAAGACTCGTTCTTGCAATGCTTTGTGTATTAGTTTTAGTTTTCATTCTTGATGTTCTTACCAATGTTAAACACTTTCTCTTTCTCTTCCAAATCAAGCAATCTCAATTCATTAGGATTTAGTGGCTCCACACCCTCAAGGCTAATTAACGTCTTATCCTTCCCTTTATAAGCATCCCAAGGTTCCACTCTTTTCATGTGTTGGTGTGTGTGTGTAGTGGTGGGTTAGTGTTTACATTCTCCCCTTATAACTATTTGTCTTGAATTTATATAAACTTAAAATATCTTGTTTCTTATCATTTTTAATTTTCAATGCAACGGCTAACTTTTGAAGAATTTAGTATGTGGTGCATAATTGTGATGCTTGGTTGTTGCTCTTAAGCAACATAAATTAATTAGAGTCTGTGTAATATAGATTGAACTGCAAATCAAGATTTTCCATAAGAGGCAAAACATTTATATCTTTTGTACAAATAAATTCTATGGAGAAAACTAAGATTTGATGTTTGATGAATTCAATAGTGCTATTATATATATCCATTAGTGATGTTAGATATATTCAATAGTAGTTTGTTTTTAACCCTCATTATTTATGTGCAGGACAATGGTTAGAACAAAAGGAAATCCTTTAAGGCAAAAAATTTTTTGTGGCTTAAGCAAGTTTAATGAGGCATATCGTGATAAGCATACAACCTAGGGAAATGATTTGAAGAAACTCAACACAGAAGTAGTTGCAGTATGGAGAAAGTTGTCATCAGAAAAACAAGATCACTATAAGCATCTGGCTAAGGAGGAAAATGCTGGTGTAAAAGCTTACGAGGTATATTGTTTTTGACCTGAAGCATGAAAAATGTGATAAATTCAAGTAATGGTGCTGACTTATTTTTTTTGGACAAATTTCATTTAAGACAAGGTGTTCTGCGACAAAGATGAAGAAAGTTTTTTATTATATCAAAAAGTAAAAATCTTTAAGAGATAGGGTTAATAAAATAGAATTTGGTAAGCTTTTAAATATTAAATGTCACAAATTGCCTAGAGATTTATGCGAAGAAGTGATAAAGGCATTTGATCCTACTGCATCATCCCTTTTCATTAGAGGTCAAAGGAAAGTCATTAATGGCAAAGCAATTCATGCCTTACTTGGCTTGCCTAATGATGGGGAGATGATTGATATGAATGGAGATAAGAATAAATTAAAGTCGTTAACCAAGGAATTTAAAAAAGTATCCTATAATGTAATAAAGGATATGATACTTTTGGGGAAAGAAAATGATAAATTTAAGTTTCTCTTCATTCTCTATTGCTTAGAGAATTTTCTGTCTAAGTTCGAGTTCCAAAATAAGTGATAAACTATTGAAGGTCATGTCTGGATTAAATTTGGGAACTGTACATTATGCTTGGTCATCCTTTTACTATCTGAGCTTGGAAAGGAGATAGCCGAATGTAAAGCATGGGAGAAGAAGGATGGGCACAAAAAAATTATTGGAGGATGCTTATTTCTTCTTGTGGTATATGGATAAATTAAGATATAATTTATTATAAGTTAATTTATTAATTATTTTGCAAAATTCTGTGGGTTATATGATATAAATGTAAATATGCAGATTTTCTACTTTTAAAAGTTTTCATTAGAGCCAATTGAGGTGTCATTGCAAGAAGATGCTTTGGAATATTGGACAGAGGAGAGAGTGACAGCATGAGTTCAACTTAAAAAGGCAAGTAATCATGGCATTTTGTATCACCCTTCTCAAGGACATGACAACTTCTCAATAGAGCTTCCAGAAATAACTTTATTTTATGATCCGGTAAGGGCAAAATCATGGTTGTTAATTAGCAAAGTTATTTTTTATATAATTTTAAACATATGATATTTTATATGGTGCAGGAAATAAAAGAGGTATATAAAGATGTTATGATCTTTACACGTGGAATTGCACAAAGACTCTTCAAGCTCTAAGGTAAAAAAAGAGGAGAGGAAGTTATTCAAAAGCATGATGGTGAAGAGGAAGAGTTGGAACATGACGACAAAGAAAAGGAAGGAGAAGAGACAGGAGATGAAAATGAAGAGGAGGGAGAATTTAGAGAAGATGAGAAGGAGGAAGAGGAAGGACAAGTAGAAGGAAATGAAAATGAAGAGGAAGGGAGATCTAGAGAAGATGAAAAAGAAGAAGAGGAAGGACAAGCAGAAGGAGATAAAAATGAAAAGGAGGGAGAATCGAGTGCACAAGAAGAAGTAGAAAAGCCAATTAGAAAAAAAGATTCTAAGGGTGAAATGACATTAAGAAGGTCACAATGACAAACAATTAGCACTATTCGTTCACCTTTTTTGGATGATAGAGAGAAGGCAAAAAGAGGACATGAAAAAAGAGGATAATGTACAGAGAAAGAAGTTTATCAATACTATATAAAGTCTATTCCACCCAATGAGAAACATGAGTATGATATTCAACCTTACTAGTTGATATGTTCATAATCGATTGGTTGATATAATTTTGTTTTCTGTAATAGGAAAATTGTGGAGATTGAGCAGTATTATCTGACAAGATATGAATGCAAGTGTCTAGGTCCTAGGCAATGGATTAGTAGTTCGGTGAGCAAGTGTGCTAGTTAAAATAGATCAAGTTATAGTAAAATTTTAATGTAACTGTAATTTTGTTATGTAGGTTGTTATGTTAATTGGAAGACTTTTGGTCAATGAGCAAAAAGAAAAGGATCAAATTGTGCAGCGACACACTTTTGATCCACATTTTGCGGTTTGTCTTATGGTTTAATTCCTTTATTTTATTAGGTGCTTACAAGTTACAAGTATTACATTGTTCATTTTAAGGAACCATAATCCACCAATAAAAAAAAATGGGACTTGGATAGCCATTTGAAGGACTTTATGCCAACTAACATCGGGTATAGCATAAGAGATTGTGATTTTATTTTTTTCCCTATAATGTTTGCATTGCACTGGTTTTGCTATATTGTGGAGCTAGACTTGATGCTACCATCTAGTAAAGAATCAAAGAAGAAAAAGAAGAATAGAAAGAAAGCGAAGGAAGTGCTGTTACCGAAAGAGAAGGAAAAAATGACATATTTTATGGTATGCCTTTTCCTACATAATGATATATAAAATTTTGTTGGTGAAAACTTCTCATTCACCTTGTTCTTATTCTCAGAAAAGCAGGTTTGTAGAAATATTAATGAAACTAAAATATGAACTTGTTGATGACAATTATGACCTAGAGTTGAAAGTGGTGCCTATGGAACAGCAACCGATGACGTGAGTAAAAAAGCTGAAATTGTGTACATGTAATTAAGTGTATATTTCCCAACTACATGTTGACAGATTTCATATTTTTATAGATTTGATTGTGGAATGTATGTCATCTTTTTCCTTAGATGGTGGAATAATACTGCATGAGAGGAATGGGATGGCCTTACTATGCCTCCTCTAACAATGGTAGAAACAAATGTTAAAGTTAAGATATAATTCCTATGTGTGATAGTTTTCTTTCTTGTGAGTTGACTTTATCTGATTGTGTAGGAACAATTAGGTGAAATGAGGAGTGAGGTATTGTATTGGCTGGTGACTCATCCACACAACAGAGTGGGCTCTCAAGATATGATGTCCATTTCGAATCCTGGGAATTTAAGATCCAAAATAT